TGATATTTGATCTTTACCTTTGATATGTGATAAATTCTGGATATTTGTATTTTATTGTCCATTTATTTTTATTGTTCATTTTCAGTGCTCTACAGTAGATATGCACTGATAATTTGTTTTTATGGCAAATTTCTTTCATGGCAAATTTGACAGCAGCCTATTTATTTATTTATTACTTATTTCACCATTTTAATTAGCCTTTTTTTATAAACCTGAAGCTCACACTGTGTGGGCTAAATGTGCTGGTGTGTTTCAGGCAATTTCCAGCACTTTCTATCAGGCAAAGTCACAATATAAATAACCTTATTTACTTTTAATTGGCTAAAGTGACATTTTAAATATGTAAATGAAAAATCAGTCGCTTATTTAAATAACATGAATAAAATAAGCTGCTACATTGAAAGCAAGAAGCAAATTTTGTATGCCAGGCGTGTCCTGGCTGACGGACCACGTCTGCATTAAGGTTGAAAAAATGTGTAATTTTTTTTAGAGCAGTATTTTAATGCTTTTGTTTCCCTGCATTCAGTTTCAGCTCTACCTTTCATTCTTTCTTATTTTCCTCTGCGCTCATTGTTTCTCTCTCTCTGTGTTGAAGGGTAGGGGGGTCGTGAGGAGGCGTGTAGTCTGCGGTGTGTGTTAGGGGGCGTGTCTGGCTGTCAGCTCGTCTCCATTAGCATGGCACTGATTCATGATGAGCGTTTCTCTCCTCGAGAGGCGGCATCAGGGCCGCCGTCGCCACGGGAATGGCACACTTTTATCGCCAAGGAAACAAGAGGTGTCTAAAAAAAAAAAAGAACACAACAGGGGCTTTATACCCACCTACGACCTCATCAACCACTGCGACCGCAGTTAATCGATATACCCGCAAATCCAGCCTCTGTACCGTTTGGGCTCAGAGCGTCAAAATGCCTTCTGCGTTGAAATGAAGTTGCTTTGAATGTGAACTGAACTGTTGTCAGAAAACCTTGGGATAATTTTTCAAATGAATTTTGGTGATGAATTAGGAGCGGACCGAAGTGAAAAGTTTTTAATTAATGCCAATTTCCAGGTGCAAAAAATTCGGACAATATTTGAGGTTTCGGGCGGCACAGTGGGTAGCACTGTCGCCTCACAGCAAGAAGGGTCTGGGTTCGATTCTCCAGCCAGGAGACCAGTGTCCTGTCTGTGTGGAGGCCGGCGAGGTCCAGCTCTGTCAGAAGGCTGTTCCTGATTGGTCCGAAGCTCGACCCTGATTGGTTCAAGAGCTGTTTATAATCAAAAATCCTAAACTAAGTTAGCGCAGCGGTGATCTATGCGATGCGATCGACCTTTTTGAGAGAGATAATCCAGGGTTAGATCAAACAGGCCTGCTTGGTGAGACAGACCTGTGGTGATGCCTTTATATTGAGGCAAAGACTCAAAGGCATTCGCCTCTTGACAAAACAAAAGAGAAAGATATTATAAATTATAAACAGATTCATTTTGATTATTAAAAAGACCACTTTTGTCCAGAGACGAGCGTCCTTTGACCGTCACTGCGCCGCGTGACCTCTGGAGATCATTTTGAAGAGGGAGCCGCTCTGTTCTTTTGTAAGAGAAAGGTTAGCGGGTTGCGCGCTAAAGGGTCCGCCGGCTCTTCCTGGATAGCATCGGCGCTGATCTGCGGCGCGGCAGCAAATTAATGACAACGTTGAAAGGCCGTTTATCTGATAATACTGATGCCCTCCAACCTCAGGTCACCTCATACAGCTTTAATTAACGAGCCAGTTTACACAGAGAGAGCGAGAGAGCATTCTATTAGCGAGGGGGGTGGAAGGGGGGGTGTAATGGGGGGACAGTTTTACCCCCAGGATGGAAAACAGAGCGAGAGAGAAAAAGAGAAATAGACGTCGCCTCATTAGGCAAGCATTCTGCGCACCTCATTTACATACAATTACTGAGCATTCTGGGGCTTTTCTGCTGCCGTGGTGGGAAGCCCAGGTCTGCACATACGGGCCGTGTGTTCATCTCGACGCCTGATCAGGGTCCTATTCAGCCAGTTTTTTGGTAAATTGCCACGTGATGCCCGGAGGAAACTAGAGCATCTCCAGCCGGCACTGAAGTCTGCTAGCAAGTAGTGCATTTAATGGACCAAGCAGCAGAGTTTTCCCAGTTAACTTTGGTAAAGATTTAGGGGCGGACCGAAGGGAAAAGTTTTTAATTACTGCCGATTTTAAGATGCAAGGGGTCAAGGGGTCTGGGTTCGATTCCCCGGCTGGGTGACCAGCGTCCTGTCTGAGTGGGTTTCCTCCCACAGTCCAGAGACATGCAGTCAGGCCGATTGGACACGCTAAATTGCCCCTTAGTGTGAATGTGTCCGTAACATTAACGTTAGGTCAATGTTTGGCCATCGTGAGGTCGATTTTTATGGATGAAAAAGCAGATGTGATTTGAAGCACTGAAACTTCCTCTCGGTTACTCTGTTAATATGAACGCGTAGATCCTAAAGCCTGCATTTTGGAGGAAACTAGGTAGGTTTATAAGGATGAGCTCCTGGGGACGTTTACATTTTGAATATTTCAAATGTCCATGTAATATTTCAAAGTCTACTGTAAGTGTCTATATTTTGCATATTTTGAATTATCAATAGCCAGTTCGGGTAACAGCACAACATTAGTTAAAAATGGAATAAAAACGTTTTTTTTCTCTGGCCCACGGGTTTGTTGATAGGATGACCCTTTTACTGGTTGAGTTTGAGATCCCTGTGTTAGACGGTTGCTCCACTCATAAGGGAGAGCAGTAGGAGAATGTAAAATATGCATAATGATCATGCAAATCGCCAACAATCACGGCTGATAACAGGTAAATGTAACCGAACTGGGTAGTGAAGTTTAACCGATTCACCGTGACGGCTCTAGTCAGATCCAGTCTGCTGGCGGATGGGATCTGTCTGTCTGTGAGTTTGGGTTTCTGTGAGGTGAATAGATACCTGTATGGCTCCCGCGAGCTTTTAGCATGAAGCTAAATGAAGCCTGCGGGACGCTGCGGGCCCCGAACGAACACTGAAGCTGATGAATCTGATATGAATATCTGAAGGGCGGTCCACACCTGCCGTACAGCGAGCGCCGGCTTTATTGCTTTTGTGAGAGGAAATTGAAGAGTTGTTTTAGAGCGAGAGGAGCACGGTGAGGGGCTGATGGTCCCTCAGAGAGGTAGATCTCCGTGTGAAATCATTCAACCTCACAACTCCCATTAACGGACTCCCGCTAAAGGCTTTGCTCCGGAGCCAGTCTAAACGAAGTTTAGAACTCCACTCAGCTGCAACCCGAGAACCGCTGGCCGCTTTGATATCAGCGTTTTTGTCAAGATGTTGGACTTTCTTTCCATGGAACACAAAAATAACATTGATTTTTAATCTGCTACAGTTTGATGCTGCAGCTGATGTTAATGGTTGTCTGTTCATGTGTGAAAAGATGTGACTGAGCTGGACCGGGTGCCCCGTAGTGCTGGGCCTTATAGATGTAAAGTATACATAGTGGTCACAGGACGCTGGATATTTTTGGTTGGCGGACTATTCTCAGTCCAGCAGTGACACTGAGGTGTTTAAAAACTCCAGCAGCACTGCTGTGTCTGATCCACTCGTACCAGCGCAACACACACTAACACACCACCACCACGTCAGTGTTACTGCAGTGCTGAGAATGATCCACCACCCAAACAGTACCTGCTCTGTGATGGTCCATGGGGGTCCTGACCACTGAAGAACAGGGTAAAAGGGGGCTAAGAAAGTATCAGAGAAACAGATGGACTACAGTCTGTAACTGTAGAACTACAAAGTGCACCTATATAGTAAGTGGAGCTGATAAAATGGACAATGAGCGTAGAAACAAGGAGGTGGTCATAATGTTATGCCTGATTGCTGTGTGTGTATATATATATATATATATGTGTGTATATGTTTGTGTGTGTGTGTATATATATATATGTATTAAAATGTCTTCATTCCACAGAGCTGCACACTTGTAGATTGTTCCGAACACCCAAAGAACCCTTTGCATGATTACAATTTTTGCATCATGAAAGGGTTCTTCAGATTAATGGAGAATGTGCTTTGAATGTTGCTATGTAGAACCCTTTTAAAAAAGGTTCTATGTATAACCATTCAAAGCACAAACCAATCAGAGTTCTTCTATTATTAACAACAGAAGAACCCTGTTTGGTGTTATATAGAAACCTTTTCAAAAAGATTCTGTAAAGAACAATATACAACAGATTCTCTGTCAATCTGAAGAATGTTTTCATCGCTGCAAAGTGGTCCTTGAGTGTTCATGGTTCTATATAGAACCTTTTTGAAAAGAGTTCTATATAGCACCAAAAAGTGTTCTTCTGTTGTTAAAGCTTGACATCATAATAATAGAAGAATTATTGTTGGTGCTTCATAGAACCCTTTGCAAAAACATTGAACCCAGAGCCCAGATTGAACACTGGAAAAATTCCGGCTGCAGAACAGAATAAACACACTTATGGACGACGCTTTGTTATTAAACACAGTCTCTTATTGAATTAGAACTAATACGCTGACTCGCCTTAAACAAAGTAAATGAGGCTTGAAAAGAGAGAAGTGTGAGTCATTTCACTGTGTGTAATATTTCCTGTTTATGTCGGGTGGCGTTACTGATTGGCTGCAGAGTGAAAACGTCATTCTGTGCGACGGTGTTTTGATCTAAGATCACTTTATGGTCTACTAGTTAAGATGACCATAAGTGTCTGTGGTGCAACCGAAATTCTGTGTGTCTCTAGTTTTAAACTAACTACTCTTATTCTTTAGGATGGACTTTACACTCCATCTTACAATCAAACTTACATATTTTTTGACCACAGCCTCTTTTTGCTCAGGAAGGTTTTCTGAAATGACTGGAATACCCACTGGTTTGTGCTGTTGTTAGTGAATGGCAAGACTTCTTCCTACTCATCTAGAGTGGAAAAGACCCATAAATAACTTTCTCTCTCTCTCTCTCTCTCTTTCTCTCTTTGTCTGGTAGGGGTTTTGTGTATGACAGTAAACATAACCTGCAGATGCGAGGGCTGGTCGTGTTGTTGATGTCGAAGGCCGCAGGGCCGAGCAGCACAGCGCCTGACGCCCTCCTGCCGGACATGGTCAGCGGCATCTACCCCAGGTAAGAACACAGAGATGCAGTGTCTGTTGAAATGTTCCTTTTTATCTCACTTTTATATGCTTAAACAGGCCTGTGCTGATAACTGCATCCTCTTATCTGGGTAACCATAAGGAAAATAACTGTGCTAAACAGTTAAACCAGGTCCGGGTATTGTTGTGCCTATTTTTTTATTTTATTTATAAGAAATGTGTAATATAAAAACAATAGTAACACTTCTTTATCGGGCAATTTTGAGACGATTCCTAACGCGAAAGCAGACAGAGCCTGTAAAAGCTGCGTTTGTAGTATACGCTCATCTTCTATTTTGCCAAGAAACTGTCATTTATGTCGTAATAAAGAACAGAATTGTGAATATCACATTTAATTTGCTGTCTGAAGCTGCTAAGCTTAGCCTGATGCCTTCTTCTTAAAAGCCATTTCTCCTGAGGTTGTTTTGAAACAGCCTGTTTGAAAAGCTGAGATATGACAGTGTTTTTCCGAGACCCTAAGCTGTTTTGTCTGATGTCTAAAACCTGACGCTGTGGTCTGAGAAAGTCTTAAAATGTATGTAGTAACATGGACAGGGATGAAGCCCCTGCAGCGCCAAGCTTGTTCAACCAGTGCAGCTCAACAGCCACGTTTACAGAACAACCTCATCTACGTTAGGTACAATAAATGTGGTGTTAAAGCAGTCTTTCTGTGGTTTACATTAAATAAATCAATAAATAAACAACACACTGCAAAAAATGGCATCATGGCAAGTGAAATTAAATGTCTTAAATGTGGTTATATCTGTTGTTTCTTAGGTTGAGATTGTTGTAAGGATATTTTAAGATTATTTAACTTAATTCTAGACAGTTTATTAACTTGTTTTAAGTCATTTTTTTAAGAAATATACTTGAAATAAAATGATCTGCCAGTGCAGCAAGAGAATTTCACTTGATAAAGTCACTTAAAAGTACAAAATAAGTGAAATAATTTCAAGATTAGGAATAATAGATGCATCGACTAATTTCACTTGCCAAGATGTCACTTTTTTGAGGTTCATGTTTAAAACCGCTGCTGTATGAGTTTTTACCATCACTATGGGGCTGTTACCGCGGTAACTCGGTTACTGGGCAGAGGCACGTGATGAAAACTCGAGCCAGCAATACGTAATTATAAAAGTGATGCAAGTTTCCCTCTTTTTTAACCAACAGAGCCTGAAATACACCTGTTATAACACACACACACACACACACACACACACACACACCACACACACACACACACACACACACTCACACTGTCCCTCTTTCTCTCTGTTTCTGTCTCTTAAATTGTGCTCCATCACTCTCCACATCCTCCTCCTCTCTCTCTCTCTCTCTCTCTCTCTCTCTCTCTCGCTCTCTCGCTCACACCCTCAAGCCTCCTCCGAGTCACATGATCAGCGTATGCGAGGTGGCAATCACTTCTCGCTAATGACCAGAGCTAAGGGCTGTTAAACACCTCAGGCCGAGAGAGAGAGAGAGAGAGAGAGAGAGAGAGAGAGAGAAGGGGTCAGGAAAAGAGACACTGAGCTAGACAAAAGCGAAAGAATGAGAGAGAGAAAGAAAGAGGAACAGATGCAGCATGGCGATTGTAAACCTTTGTGTGTTATGAGCCGGACTCTGCCCAACAAACGCTTTGTGGCTCCTTGGCCTCAGTTGATATTCGTCCACTCTGTGTTTGATCTTCACTGTTACTTTTCAGGTAAATGAGAAAAATGACATGTAAAGGTTTAATTAAAGCGGCTCTGCTCTGACGGTTTAGTGCTTTGGGTATTAATATCTTCAGCTTCATGTTCATCAGAGCATCTTCCTTGGTATAAAGAGCAGGTTTTCTTTTTCCAAACCATCACTGTCGTCATTGAAACTCTTTTGGTCCAACCGTTCTCAAGCTTTTTCAGTCCGAGGCGCCCATTTAGGATATAGTGCCACTGCCCCCCACCCCAAAATGGTAACTTTAAAGGAGAAGGTAAAAATGTTATTTGCTTTTAATGCAAGTTAACACAAAGAGATTATATTTCACATAATTCTGGACTATGCTATGATGTCAATAATAACTCAGTAAGTGGGCATGGTATGGCCATGTTTAAATTAGGGCTGCACTATAAATCACAATTTTATCTTTAGTGCGTTGTGGGTTTCCACAAGAATAGAGCGGTGATGACAAAGCAGGTCTAATTACCGGCACAAACCATTACAAGCCTGCTACTCTACACTGGGACTGAACCTGCTTTCCCACGCGGGAGACATTAGGCCAAACGACAAAACATGCACTCGAAGACCTTAACATGTCGGCATAGCTCAGCCGTGGATAGGGCTGGCCACCGCTCCGGGCAAGTGTGCTCCCTGCCCCCTAGTGTGTGTGTTCACTAGTGTGCATGCATGTGGGTGTTTCACTGCATGGATGGGTTAAATGCCGAGGTCTAATTCCAAAGTGTGCAAACACAGTTAGCTGATGGTTCTGAATTGAATTGAATTGAATTCTTTAATGGAGAGTCAACTACGAAACACACATAGAGACCTTAAAATGTCTGCATTACTCAGCTTTTACTGTAAATTCAACTACTAAACACACACACTGAGACCTTAACGTGTCGGCATAGATCAGCTTTAATGGCGAGTCAGCTACGAAACACACACTCTGAGACCTTAACAGGTCGGCATAGCTCAGCTTTAATGGAGAGTCAACTACGAAACGCACTGAGACCTTAAAACATCACCATCACTCAGCTTTAATGGAAATTCTACTCTAAAAATCTGCCACAAAGGGGAAAACATGCAGCACACAGGCAGCTCAGGCTCGTGCAGAAGTTTGAACACCCCATGTTTTGTTTTTCTGAGTGAACGACACGAAAAAATGGAGAATATGGTCCCTTTAAGATTTCTGTGTTCAGTCGTAGCAAAACTGACGTAGAAAACATGCTTATTTATTAAAAACATTCAGAAAAGTTAGGTGTCCTCTTGTGATGGATGGTGAAGGGTCGTTCCTTAATGACAAAGAGTGGGTCTCCTCTTCTCTCTCTCTCTCTCTCTCTCTCTCTCTCTCTCTCTCTCTCTCTCTCTCGCTCTCTCTCTCTCTCTCGCTCGCTCGCTCTCCCCCTCTCTCTCTCCCTCTCTGTAGCACATTTAATATCTGCTTATAATGTCCAGTGAAGGGCAGTGGAACATGAATTAAGCGTAAACATGCTCCTCCAGTGCACACGCACGCTCTCCATCGTAATGCGGCCGGTCTGCAGGAGCGTTTCCCTCACCACTGCGCAGTGTGTGAGTGTGAGTGTGTGAGAGTGTGTGTGTGAGAGTGTGTGTGTGAGAGTGTGTGTGTGTGTGTGTGTGTGTGTGTGTGTGTGTGTGTGAGTGTGTGTGTGTGTGTGTGTGTGAGTGTGTGTGTGTGTGTGCCAGGCAGTTACCAGAAGTCAGTGTTTAATTTGGCAGTGAGTGTGGGTGTGTGTGTGTGTGTGTGCATGCGAGTGTGTGTGCACGTCTGTGTGAGTGCGTCTGAATGAACTCTTTCTCTCGGCTGGCGGAGCTGGACGGAGGGATCACCACTCGTCTGCTTTCCCCCTCTCTCGCTCGCCTGTCCACAGCCGCTCCACTGTTCTTGGAGACCTAGCAGGAAGTGACCTCATAATTCCATTGCTTGGATATTGGGCGTCATGGAAACGCAGATGAAGTAGTTTCCCTCCGAACTGTGTGTGATCCTGACTTTTTAAAGCTCCATATTTATTTTTTGTGTGTTTCTTTGTTGTTTTTTTATTGTGTGTGTGTGTGTATATATATATATATATATATATATGTGTGTGTGTGTGTGTGTGTGTGTGTGTGTGTGTGTTATTGAGGTAAATATTAGAGTTAAGAATAGAAAAATCATATGACATACAAAGACTTGCATACATATACAATACATATAGGACATATAAATATGTATAGATTCTTACATGTACAGTATATATGGATTTTTTATTATTATTATTTCATGTCTGTATTTATGGGACATATTACACATAGATACTCATATAATACATTCATATAAGACTTATTGTTAATGTGCATAGATGCTTTCATATACGGCCATATGAAAAAGTTTGTTTGATGTTTTGTTGTTATTTTCTAAGTGTAAATAAGTTACACATCCTCTACACATTTTAATGCATTATTACTGTTTATTTACTGAATTTAACATATTTGGGGAAAATAAAACATAAAATGGCGTTTGCAAAAGTTACGGCACACTTTATATGTTAATTTTTCCCCAATATGTTAAATGTAGTTCCCTGTAATTGTGCATTAAAGTGTGCAGAAGTGTGTTCTCTGTAGAGGATCTGTAAACAAAAAAATTAATAAAACTTCTGGAAGTGAGTGTGTATATAAAACATGAGACACATTATCATTACATATAAATACTAACATGTATATCTGAACTATATATGACACATTTGTATCACATGTAGATACTTACACATACAGTGTGCAAGTTTTAGGCAACTAAAACTTAATAAAATGACTTCTGAGGAAATTAGGTGTGAGATAATTCACTCGAATAAGGAAGGAGGAACCACCAAAACTGCCCCCATCAGATAAACAGCACTTAAACCTGAACATCACTGAATGTGTTTGATTACTTCAGAAAATGGTCAACCAACTTCTGAGACTGAACTGAAAGTGAGTCTCCTGAAAAGAATGGAAGCTGGAATAAAGGGAAAGAGTGGACAGAAATGATATTTATGTAATATTTAGTTTTTGAGGTTTCTGTGTAATTTTCGGTTAAATGTATGTATATGTGTGTGTGTGTGTGTGTGTGTGTGTGTGTGTGTGTGTGTCATATATATATATATATATATATATATATATATATATATATATATATATATATATATATATATATGGGGCATGTTAGTACATATAGGCACTTACATGTGTGCAACACATATGTAACGTGATGTTATGTCTTGGCATTTTATGAAAACCTGTGTGAGTGTTGGGTGTGGAGATCTCCGT